GAGAGTGTCCCCGATACTCGAACAACGCACATCGCCTTAACCAATCGCGTCAGTTTATCCGGAAATCCGTACCCGTGCATAATCTGCCATAGTTGATCTCGATCGATTGTGTCGTATGCGGATTTTAAATCGATGAACAAATGATGTGTGGGCACGTTGTATTCGCGGCATTGCTGCAGAACCTGCCGAATCGCGAAAATTTGGTCCGTGGTAGCGCGGGCACCCATGAATCCCGCCTGGTATTGCGCCACGAACTCTCTTGCAATTGGTGACAGGCGGCAGCATAGAATTTGGGAGAGTACCTTGTAGGCGGCGCTCAGCAGTGTGATCGCGCGGTAGTTGCAGCATTCCAACTTGTCGCCCTTTTTGTAGATTGGGCATACAACACCTTCCATCCACTCCTCCGGTAATATCTCCTCCTCCCAAATCTTGGCAATTACCCAGTGCAGCGCTCTAGCCAGTGCTTCACCATCGTATTTTAATAGCTCACTTGGTAGTTGCTTTGTTGTTCTTCAGCCGACCGATCTCCTCCTCAACTTCTTGATGATCAGGGGCCGGTAGCCTGTCGTCTTCTGCGCGTGCTCCAAGGTATGTTGCCGTGCCACCTTCTTCCTTCGCAAAACCGAGTTTTGTCTGTTCCGCGCTTGTCTGTATCGCTCCACATTCAATCTCGTGCAGTGTTGCAGCATTCTCGCCCGTGCTGCATTCTTCTCCTCTACTAACAGTTTGCATTCGCCGTCAAACCAGTCATTTCTTCGGTCCGGGATCGCAGTACCTAGTGCCGCTGCAGCAGTACTACCTATGGCGGAACGGATATCCCTCGAGCCATCTTCAACAAAAGCTGCGCCAAGCTGCTCTTCCGTGGGTAGTGCAATTTCCAGCTGCTGCGCGTAGTCCTGGGCAACTCTGGCGTCCCGTAGTTGCTCAATGTTGGGTCGCGGCGTTCGACTTCGACGGGTGTTATGAACCGTCGAGAGTTTTGAGCGCATGCATACTGCAACTAGGTAGTGGTCCGAATCTATGTTCGCACTGCGGTACGTGCGGATGTTGATAATGTCGGAGAAGAATTTCCCGTCGATTAGAACGTGATCGATTTGGTTTTCTGTGTGTTGGTCAGGTGATCTCCAGGTGGCTTTGTGGATATCCTTGCGGGGGAAAAAGGTACTTCCAACTACCATACCCCGAGAGGCTGCAAAGTTCACGCATCGTTGGCCGTTGTCGTTCGATACGGCATGCAGGCTGTTTGGCCCGATTGCCGGTCTATACATTGCCTCCCGTCCTACCTGAGCGTTCATGTCGCCGATGACGATTGTGACGTCCCGTTGCGAACAGCCGTCGTACTCCTGCTCCAGCTGCGCATAGAACGCTTCTTTCTCGTCGTCGGGTCTCCCTTCGTGTGGGCAGTGCACGTTGATGATGCTGTAGTTGAAGAAACGGCCCTTAATCCTCAACTTGCACATCCTCGCGTTGATCGGCTGCCAACCAATCACGCTCTGGTAGATAGTAGCCGCTCGATGCCCGCTTTTCCATACCTTTTGTCCCGTCCAGCAAAGTTCCTGCAGTGCTACGACTTCGAAGTTGCGTGGTTGAAGTTCGTCATAGATTAACCCATCGCAGCCCGGGAAGCCGAGCGATTTGCAGTTCCATGTTCCGAGTTTCCAATCGTAGTCCTTATTTCGTCGCGTAGGTCTGTGCCGATTGTTCCGATCCGTATTTCTTTCTTCAGTATTTGCAACTTTGTGTTTTTTCCAGGCCGGCTTATTGGGCCTGCCCCAACCCCCTGTCTCGCCGGGGGACCATCGTGTACAGCTCTGTTTAGAGTCTCACGCTGGCACTAGGACGGTGATCAGCCGCTCCTAACATGGAGAACAGACGCCGTCTTTAGCCGCACCTCCATGGTGAACAGACGCTCGGGTTTGGTGAAGCATTTCCTCTATCAACGTACTATGGTTACCGCGCCAGTTTTCGCGTCGCACCTCTTCACTGTTGCTGGACTGGCAACATTGCCCAGGCTACGCCACCCAGCTGTGTCCATGTTTTAGCTGGTAGTCTTTTGTTATCATATGATTCGCGGAGGCGTGAAGTAGGAACTTGTGAGGACCAGGGCTAGGTATTCCGCTCCTTCCAGGTTGTCAACTCATTCTGTAGCCCAACTAATATATACGAAACTAACGATTTTGAATTGGCTCACTACTTGACTACCCTGTTGGTCCCAAGCAAACGATTAACGTACCCCATTCTAGTCGAAATTCTAGTACTACGCGATGTTTGTTTTGATTCGCTATGAAAGTTTGACAGATAAAATGAGGGGTTAGTGGATTTTCCTATGTTTCGAGGGGTGAATCAATTAGCTTGGGACCGAAGAGAGTACCAGAGCTGAGCCAAAAAGTTGAGCACGTTATTTCGGGACCTTCTAGTTTTAGAGTTACCTCTATGGTTGAAATGCCCAGGAGCACACTGACCACATCTGGCCATGTTTTAGGAACCCCCGGCAAGTGGCTAGCTTCTGACATCATGCGATACCTTAAATCACATAAGAATTCATCTATTATATCACATCATTTGAGCATGAGATTTTATAACATCTCAGAATTGAGATTTAGATGTGTCAAATGACTTTCGGGCGCTACTGTACATCTGGCCCCGTTGAACTTCTCACATTCTTCACAGGTGTCTCGTTTTCCCCGACAGGTTATTGCATTTTGTTTGTGAATAAGACACTCTTGAATCACAGACGGTGATATCAAAATAATCAACCCACTCTATAATTTTGACCACTTCATTCATCCGCCCGACCACCATTCCTGCAGCAACTTGGCGCGTTAGTACCTTCATCTACAACAACGCTGTAAGCACATACGCTCTCACCCAGCTCAATCCGGCCCACCGCGAGAACAAAAACCACAATGAGTATGTAGTAACAACCGCAAAAACCAGCTGTGAGGAGGCAGTGAGCGAGCGAGAGAATCCTTCATGCTCACACTCTCTGAAAAAGTTAAAGGTGTATTCAGACATGAGCGTGCATGAGCGGAGCGGAGCAAAATTTGCGTTAGCATGAGAGGTAGAACTACACTAAGATAATTATCCCTACAAACTTCATAAACTACATCGCATGAACGCATACAAATACAAGCCTGAATCAATTTCATAATTATCTTATGTTTTCATACTTCATCTATAGTATTCATAATTTGATACAACAAAAGGTATACGAAAAACATTAAAATTTCATAAACACATCGTATGAATTATTTTGGTTCAGCTTACGGCAAAAAATCATACGATGATCGTTTGAAATTTATTTAGACAGTGCAAATCAAAACAACAACAAAACACAAGATGGCGGATCCAGCTTCAAGACGTGGCGCAAGGCTCCGTAAACCTGTAAGTAAATTTAATTCGTATTGTTTCATTGTAGTTTACAACTTTATTTACATTTTTAGACAGTTAGCAAGCTGCTGCTTGCTATCGATTTCAACAGCACGTCGGAAAAGACAACCGGATCGGGTAAGTGTCAGATTTATTTTTTGTTTTTGTTTTGATAATTTAATACAAGAGTAAAATTTTTTGAACAGGAATCGGACACGAGTACAAGCAAAACTACTCGCAAAATCGTAAGTATAAAGTTCTCAGTTGGTTCGTTATTTTTTACAATACCGAAGGTGATCCAGCCCCGAGCTAAAAGCCTCCCTAATAAAGAAAACCTAACCTAACTTTACAATTTTTGTTTACAGAAAAAAAAGGGGTGCTAAAGGACTTCATTTACCCCCCTGACCCCCTGACCCTGATAATAGGTAAAGGTATTGTCAAAACCGTCATTTACCCTATGTGATTAGGTGAATAAACACTATACTTAAACATCCAAAATCACATTTTTTAGTACAATCAGCCTATTATACTCGCTAGTAAGGTGAGGTAACTAGTGAAGTGATCCTAGTCACGTCGTGGAGTGTCACGCCACCACGCGATAACTATTGTCACTTCACTCACCACGCACAATAGGTCTCAATATAATAAATATAATAAATAATTGCTTGGTTTAACGGCTTTCTCAGTCTTAATCTCACTCTAAAGACTACGATTTAATCTGACCGACGCTTCGGTCATAGGTTTTAGTTCATGGTCCATGGTCGAAACGTCGGGCAGATTAAATCGTTGTCGTTAGAGTTAGATTAAGACTTAGAAAGCCGTTAAACTAAGCAAATCACTCAAGTACTAGTCGTCACCATCACTAATATAGTAATTAATCAACTCAAACTATATTTTTCATTCATATCCTTTATGAGTTTCATACGAAATGACAAATGAAATTGTTCGTAATATCCAATGGTAGCTATCGTTCGTTTATATTGAGATTCATAGTTATATGCATGAAAAATCATACGATGGCTGGTTGACAAAAAAACTGACAGTTCTTCATAATTCGGTCGTATGAAATTCAGCTTAAAATCTTGTCGCAAAAAATCATACGATATTTCTATGAAATTCGTTTGATTAATAACCTCAGTGTAGTACTTTTCTCCCTCCCACCTTAAAGGTGTATTCAGACGAGAGCGTGCAGAGCGAGGTTAGCGTTGGTATAAGAGAGAGAGAGCTAGTACTTTTTCTCACTATCTATCTTACCAACGCAATTCCCGCTCCGCTCCGTTCAAACACGCTCATGTCTGAGTACAGCTTCTAACACGAACACAGCAGGCGCTATTTTTGAGCCTAGCTAGGAAAGGGGAGCTTCGAGCGAGCTTCGAGTTCGACTTGGAGCTCGCCAAGCGTTCAGTTTCTTTTCCCCATCGTCGCCAGCAACACGAGAATGTGAGGAGTGAAGAGTGTTTATTCCTACCATACCTATTCGGCTTCTTTCTTTCAGTACCATCAGTGACGACCTCACCTCCGTTTGCTTATTTTCCTCACATTCGAATTTATTCCCCTTTTGGTATTTGTCCACAAATCGTGACACATTTTTCATCGCGCTTTTCTCATCGCTTTGGTGGCGGAAAAATCCGGAAGTTACTGCTACAGTGCGTGCAGTGTGCGTGCTCGGGTGTGAAGACGAGCATTGACGTTTCGAAAACCGGACGGTAACCTTCGCAGCGTGCAAGAAGGACACACACCATTCGAGAAATCAGCTGGAGTGTTGTGGTTGTTCTTTTCTTCTGCCGTCGTAGATTAGTGTCTGCTGCTGGGAATGGTGTTTCTGGGGTAGTGTCAATTACTTGCTCCATTACTGCGCCATTGCGACGCATACTGTACGGGGGGAAAAAAGTGTGTGAGCGCAATTATTTGGCTGCATTTTGGAAGTGGTTTCTGATTTTTGACGGTGATATTTCCGCGCCTGCTGTGCTGTGCCGTGCTGTGTGGGGAGTCGGTTAATTATCGAACAATTTAGTGAGCGGCGGTTTCTAGGAAGGAGGAACATTTTGCGATCGCCTGCTTCGATGATCAACCGTCTGTGGCCCGACAAGGTGGACGAAGAAAAATTTGTGTGAAAAAGTTAAAAATATGTCTTAGTACGAAAATTTTCCCCTCAGTAACAGTGGCAGCGAGCGGTAGTCGCCGGATGTGTGGCAAAACGATGAGCAGCAGTGCAGGGAATATCAAGAAACCGTTGAGGAAAATCCGAGTGTCAAGTTGGCTGAAGTGAGAGTGAGAGCGGGAATTTTCCTTCTTAGGGCGAGGGGATGAGGGCGTGAGGTTGTGTCAAGGGAAAATGTGCGGTGCAAGGTGTGACTAGAGAGAGCGAAAAAGAAGTGAAATACGAATATCAACTATTATTAAATCGCGAATCGAAGGAAAACACTGGCACGCATACACCGATTCGAGAGAGGCTGTGCACATGTGTGAAAAAGAAAACAAACATACGAAAAACGCCGACTGCCGAAAATAACACGAATTTCAATACGATGACATCTGCTACTACGACGACGACGACGACGACAACGACGAGCAATAAGACAAAATTGTAGACCACGTCGGAACAGGGAAGAAAACATGATTTTCTCGTCAAAATCGACTAAAAATAAAAATATCCCGAAGCAAGTGGAAGATGATGTGAAATCGAATTCTTTCAAACAATCTCCCCAAGCAGAGTGAATCAACCAGTGCAGAAATTCCTGGATAGCAGAAGCGCGCACTCGAGTCACTTGAACGCGCCCCAGCTGCAAGGTGGGAACATATTTCCCTTATCGGCAACCCGCCAATATAAATCAATCTAGTGAGCCACGATACTTTCGCAGCCTGATATTTTGTTTTATCTGTTCGATTTCCCAATTGAACCACAGGTAATTGTTTGCGTCAGGTGCGCTGCGGAAGCCGGTAACTGATTGGGCCACAATGGGAAAACGAGGTTAACCGATCGCTATTTTTTTTTTTTTCGTGTGGCAACCGTTTATTAGAAATGGTTAATCAAAAATGCACCTTCCGCACCTTTTTAAAATTTACCATAGTGAATGAGAGGGAGAGAGAAAGAGTAGCACATCAGCATTTTGTTACGATACACAGATGGAGGCACATGGTGGCTGGATCGTTGTGTGTGTTGTTTGTTTACTGTTGATGTGGTTTGACCTTAGCTTTTGGAGTAAGAAATAACGCAAGAAGAAAAAAACAACAATCACGTTTCGCATTATTCCAGTCGTCCATAGTAGGCTGCTGCTAATAATACTGACACAGTGTAGTTGGCCATGCTCCACCGATTTTTTTTTGTGTGATGAAAGAGAGATTGGTAGTGAAATTCAGTGAGCGGACGCGGCCAACGGTCGTTTTATTGTTATTGCTGCGAAGTAGGCGCCTATCATTGAAGAGCGGTGTCAATAGGGTCAGTTATACAAATCGGCTTTTAGTTGAAGGTCTTGCTTCGAAATGAATTAGTAAATTGCATCCCTCTGTAAACTTTGTATTTCTCGCATTATACTCAGAAAGTTCTTACTGATATCTAAGATACCTGAAAATACTTAAAAATACGTAAGAAATATTTAGCGCTAGTTTGTTGCCACCGTTGCTAGACAGATTTCTTTCGATTATTTACCCGGTGTCATCTGGGATTTGATGTATGCGTATTTAGAAATTCAACCATTATTTTCTTAATTTTTTCCTTTTGTGTAGGAATCGAGAAGGAGCAATTTTGATTCAAGGAATATTACATTGCTAAACTGGTTCACCTGTTATTCAAAGGAAGAATTAGGAGCTATTTCAAAAGTTATTGTAAAAGTAAGTGCATTTGGAAGCAAATCCTCAAAACAAATTTGTCGATCCCAAAACCATACATCGATAAAGATGGATTTTTCGTCCATTAGGATCTTGACCGTTGGACGATAACTTCAGGCATCTACGCTGATTGAAGCTGAATACGAAGTTGTGAAAGCAGAACCGCTTCATTTCGAGCAATACCATTTTCGTGTAAGTCATTGTGTTTCTTGTTATCGAGTCACGATGAACATTCCTCCTTTCAAACATGACTTGACTATTGCTTGTTTTGTTCGTCAAGTGCTCCAGTTCATTTCATTTGAAGCAAAGACTTACTTCAATTGACGCAATGAATGACTCGAAAACTATTTCCTTCGTTTTTATTTTCACTTTCACTTCAATTCGGGCTAATTCGACTTGTCACGCATCGTGACGTCGAGCATAAAAATAACGTATCCGCACAATATCGGTTGCCGATAGGGATGGCATGCAAATTATATGTAGTAATAATAGGGGAAATGTATGTAATGTCGGCCTAAGTGTCCCTAATTTGGGCCCATACATAAATTCAGCAATCGACAAAATTTTCAATACCAACCAAAAATATCCATTAGTACCAGCCCAGTGGCAGGCGCGTAGGGAACATGTTATACAGTGACAGCGGGCCCAGCACAGCAAAATAAATTATTTGAGCCCGGGACATGCTGCCTACTGTCAAACGCTGATGTTTGTATAGACCTTGTCACTGGCCTGATTAGTACCGTCCCAATGACGCGTTCATCTAGATACAATTGATAAATAGCAGATTTTTTAGCGATGGGCCCAATCTTAGATCCATAGGCCAACATTAGAGCCATTTCCCCTATATTATTTTATGTTAAACGAAAATTTAATTAACGAGGCCATTCTGGAGTCCAAGATGGCGGCCATCGGGGTCAGGAAAAGTCTCAAATACCCTACAAAATGGGTATTTTCGGAACGGGGACGAAGCGAAGGTGCCAAAAATCGATATCCGATGCCATTTTGGAATCCAAAATGGCGGCCATCGGGTTTCAGAAAAAGTTTCAAATATCCGACGCCATTTTGGAATTCAAAATAGTGACAATGGGTTTTCGGAAGTGTCAAATAAAAAATATGGGTATTTTAGGAACGGGAAAAACGCGTAGATGTCAAAAATCGATATCCATCGCTATGTTGCAATCCAATATGGCGGCCATGATTCAGAAAGTGTCAAGTACCCTACAATATAGGTATTTTCGGAACGGGGACGATGCGTAGAAGCCAAAAGCCGATATTTGACGTCATTTTGGAATCCAAGATGGTGGCCATCAAGTTTCGTAAAACGTGTCAAATACCCTAAGATATGGGTATTTTCAGAACCGGGACAATGCGTTGATGCCGAAAATCGATATCCGACGCTATGTCGGAACGGGGACAACGTGTAGATGCCGAAAATTGATATCGGATGCCATTTTGGAATCAAATGTGGCGGCCATCAGGTTTCATAAAAAGTGTCAAATACCCTAATATCAGGGTATTTTTCGGAACGGAAACCTTTCCGATTCCCACGACGCGTAGATGCTAAAAATCGATATTTGCAGGCCATTTGACACTTCTTCTGAAATCGGAAGCCACCATCTTGAATTTCAAGATGGCGTTGGACATCGATTTCTGACTTCTAGATTTCACCCCGATTCCAAAAAAAAACCCACATTGATCGGTATATGACAGTAATTCACAGTTTCTCTAAACCAAAGCCGTCATCTTGGATTTAAAGACGGTGTGACAACAATTTTCAGCATCTACGTCTCATCCCCATTCTGAAAATAACCATATTTTAAGGTATTTGACACATTTCCGCAAATCGGAAGCCGCCGTCTTGGATTTCAAAATGACGTCGGATATCGATTTCCGGCCTCTAGACGCCATCCCGATTCCAAAAGTACCTATATTAATGGGTATTTGACAATATTTCCTATTTTTTCTGAAATCGGAAGCCGCCATCTTGGATTTCTTAATGGCGTCGCATATCAATTTTCGGTCTGTAGACTTCATAATGATTACAAAAATGTCAATATTGATGTATATTTGTCTGTATTTCCCAAGGGGTAGGTCACTTCACACACCAATCTTGGGTCATCTTTTTTGTCAGTGTGCCGCAAGTATGACGATTATGTCGGTCATAGAGCAAGCTGCGATTGTTTGTAAAATACCCATCCCGGCAACCCGGTATTTCTGACACCTTGAATGATTTGGTTTGAAATCGCAAGGATAAATCGGATTGAGGATGACGCGGGAAGTGGCGGGTGTGGGAACTGTCGGTGTTTTGTGATCCATAGGGAAATAAAAGTCCTGTGTTTAGTGTTTTATAAAACCCTCAAAGGCAGACCAGAAATCTAGCCTTTCGGCCGGAAAGAGTTAGAGACCGACTATAGAAGGTCATGAATAGACTTCTTTAGTTTGTATTGTGTGATTTGCAACATTATTTGAATTAAGGGTACTAATGAGGTCTGATTAACTGCCTCTTCCTCTTGAGTCCACTCTAGAACCTACATTTCGTATTTAGATCTATAAGTGAACTGCTGGTCTGAGTGCCTCTGGTATATTCAATTAGAAGATGTCAAACAGTCAAACAGCACGTAATGTTCTGAACAACTTCAATGACAGTTGTCCAGCAGTGCTCCCATTTTATTTACAATAATCTAATGCCTACGAGATTGTGCCGAAGGTATGCCGAAAATGTGCCGATGGATGTGCCCAAGCTGTGTAGAATATAATTCCGGCACAATGTGCTGAGTGACTTACCCCTTGGTATTTCCACTTTTTCTTAAGTCGGAAGCCGCCATTTTCGATTTCGAAATGGCGTCAGATATCGATTTTCATCCTTTAGGCATCATTC